AAAAAAAAAAGAATTGTATGAAATAATTTACAGATCAATTGTGTGGTGATGAAAAACTTTAATGACGATGAAATCATTGATTTTGTTAATTTAACAAGAGATCGTTCAATTGATGTACGTTTTATTGAATACATGCCTTTCCAAGGTAATGAGTGGAATGAGAATAAAATGGTCTCTTTCAAGACTATGAAGGAGCTTATTAGAGATACATATCCTGATTTGCAACGTCTTCCAAATAAGTACAATGATACGTCAAAGGTAAAAAACGTAATGTAAAAAATTACATTAAAAAATTAAACACATTGTTAGTTTGTGCACTATTGGGAACTTAATTTCTTTTTCTTAATAGGCATACTTTATACCTGGATTCACAGGACAAGTTGGATTCATTACATCAATGAGTGATCATTTTTGTAACTCATGCAATCGACTGAGAATAACAGCAGATGGACATTTAAAAGTTTGTTTGTTCGAAGGTAAAGGCGAAGTGTCTCTTCGAGATGCGTTACGTAGCGGAGCGTCGACTGATATTTTAAAACAAATGATTAGGGAAGCAGTATGGTTTAAAAAGAAGCAACATGCAGGTACGAAATTTTATCTTTAATCCGTATAACTGATACAGGATCATCAAAGATTATTCTGTCTCACTAGAAATACTAAGCTAGGTGTAAAGCGATAACGTTTATATGTCTCCGACAATATATGTGTTTCAGGAATGTTGAATCTATCCCGCATGGAAAACAGGCCAATGATTCTGATTGGGGGTTAATCAATTACATATTATAAGAATTTTAAGTTGTTATAAAATGATATATCGATGCTATGCGCACAAACGTTATCGCTCGATTTGCTTACAATTAATAATGATGCAGTTCAAAAATGTCATACGTTTAACTTCATGTTTGTGTTTACAGTTACAAAGAAATATGTACATCTTGAAAATTTACAAAATAGTGTACCACAACGGTATTTAATGGATCGCGTGAGACCACAGTTTGCAAGTGTAAGATCGTTTTCGTCACTCTCACATGTGGATCAAAGCGGCAAAGCAAGCATGGTAGACGTAGGTTCAAAAAACGATACTAAACGCGTCGCAATGGCAAGAGGAATTGTACAAGTTAATTCAGTAATAAGTAAATTGATAGCTGAAAATAATGTAAAGAAAGGCGATGTATTATCCGTAGCGCAATTAGCGGGTATCGTGGCAGCAAAACGTACTTCCGATTTGATACCTTTGTGTCATCCACTTTCGTTATCTTATGCGAATGTACTTTTGCGTTTGAACGAAGAATTGCATCGTATAGAGATAACAGCGGAAGTTAGGTGTACTGGTAAAACCGGCGTTGAAATGGAAGCTCTGACAGCCGTGAGTATCGCAGCTTTAACAATTTACGATATGTGTAAATACGCGGCTTCGCCGATATCAATGAAGATAACCGATATCGAGTTAGTTTCAAAAACTGGTGGTACAAAGGGTGATTTTTTAAGGAATTAAATTTTTATAGTCTACCTTCGAATACAGTGCATAATATAACGTATTTATATAAGTTTTAGAGAGTTGTATAATTTTGTCTTGTTCAGTAGTATGACGTTACTGAATTACATTGGATGTTTTTATACGTTTTATACGTTGATGATGGAGCAATCGCCATGATATGATATGATAAATCTTATCGTGTTTTGTATTATAAGAAATTTATACTAACACATGAGTGTGTGTACCTGTAACTGTAACAAAAGTAAGAAACCATAATTCAAACTATATTTTATTATCGTGCAATATTTACAACAGTAGATTTTTTTCTACCATATTACATAGGATTCAAACTATATTTTATTATCGTGCAATATTTACAACAGTGGATTTTTTTTTTATTGGACGAATTTATAGTTTATTTATACATGTATGTATACAATTATCTTTGACATTCTTATAACATTTGTAAAGTAAATATGACTTATATATTTCTGTTAAAGTGAATTAAACTGGATTGTTGAATCGTTGAAGTGTAATG